GGAGCAAATTTCATTAGGAAGAGAATGATGACGACTATTTTTTTCCACTAGTTTATGAATTCCGAGAGGGCAGTGACAATGCTTGGTTTCTGGTAAGATTGAAATTTAACTTAAAAACGTGGAGGTTGAAGAGGGAGGGGACGTGTGTATACCTATATACCTATGGCTGATTCATGTTGAGGTTCGACAGAAAACAACAAAATTCTGTAAAGCAATTATCCTTCAATTAAAAACTAAATAAATTTAAAAATAAATAAATAAATAATTTTTAAAAAAACGTGGAAAGGGGGACCACAGCTTCCTCATTTTGCTGCGTTCATACCCCTCCCTATTAAGTCAAACGCTAGGCGCCTGCCATTTGCTTTAATTGAGAGTAGGGAACTAGGGTTATAACCAGGTAGAAGCAAAGGGTGCCAACCACCAGTAGCATGAGGGCCAATAAAGATAATTTGCTTTTTTATCCTTCTCCTTATGCCCCCAGAGTGAAGAACGCGCCTAGGGCCTTTAGCTAGTGATAAATGGCATCAGAAATGGCCAGTGCACACCCTGGGACGCTCCCCTTGCCGGGGGGCGGGGGGGGGGGGGGGGGGGGCGAGGCCCAACCAGTTCTATCAACAGGAGGTGGTTCCCCGGTTCTAGTCCGAGTTTATTTACTGGGGACCCTCTGCCGTCTCCCCAGCGCCCCAAGCCCACCTTCCCCAGCTCCTCTGATAAAGCTCCATCCCGAGGACCCACCAGGCGGTGCCAGCATCTAAACATCACCTCCGCGACAGGCCCCCGGCCCCCCGGGGCACCCGCCTCCACACAGCCTGAGTCTTTTCAGGGGCTGGAGGTCCGGAAGCCCCTGCGCTCGGGTTCCTTTCAGTTCCTCAGCGCGCCAATTCCTCCCGCCCTGCGGCCTCGCAGGCGAGACCCGCTGAGTCAAGCCCAGTCTCAGGCACACACCTGTTCTCCCACGACCCCGGCAGCTTTCCTCCCCTCGCTCCTGGCCTTGGTAGGAAGCAAAGTGCTCAAATGGTACTGACTAAAAACAGCTCCGTTCGCCGCCGCCTTCTCCTCCTCCTCCCCGCCATATTACGGTACTCTGGCGGCAACGCGGGCTCCTGGCAACCGCCGCCGCCGGCGCCACCGCCCCCCCCACCTCCGGACTCCACCTCTTAGGGCTGGAACTTCTGGTGGCTGCTTCCGGGTCCTTTAGACCGGTTGGGCCTCCAGAAAACTACAATCCCCGAGTTGCTGTGCGCGCCTGGGTGCGCGTCCCGGCCCAGCGATGGAAGGCGTTGGTCTTACGGGGGCGCGGTGCACGCCGGGAAGCGTAGTCCTCACTGACAGCTCTCAAATTTTATTTCGTTAGGAACTGAAGCTTCGAGAAATGTTCCTTGAAGCTGCTATTTTTCACTTATCTGTAAAGAGATAACTTCTTTCTGTACAATCGTTGGAATACATACAGTAGGCACCAAAATTTTTTTCTCTCTAAATAAAAAAAGATTGAGTCCTAGATGCCACAAATTTAAGCGTCAACATTTCCCTACTCTTGCACATCACAGGGAAAATACCTCCATGAAAGGAAGGCAGCAGGTTCAGAATGGCAGGAATAGCTCAGAATGTTTTGCCAAAGTTCTCTGTCCAAACATATTGCCAGTTTTCTGTCAACTTAAAAAAAAAAATACCATGAGAGTTGTAGGTTAAGTTTTATTTGGGACAAAAATGAGGACTATTACTCAGGAGACAGCAATTCAGATAGTTCTGAGAAACTGCCCCCAGAGAGGCAGGGAGAGAGGTCAGTATTACATACGATTTTAGCGAAGTGTGTGAAGTCAAGCCCGCGTTTTGCCAGAGGCTTCCAGCTGGCCACGAGGAGCTGATGTAACCATTAATGATTTTAGTGCTTTTCTAGAAAGGAGGCGATGTAAGAATTGGGCTCACAAAATCTGAAAATACCCAGGTTTTCCCAGAGCACAAAGTGTCTCATTCCTGATCTCCACCCTGAACTCCTTTCAGGATGTGTTGAAGGTCAGTGGCTGCAGTGGCTAATAATTTAATCCTTACAGAGGCAAATGGCAACTGCCAATTTTTGTTAGCATTTTCAAAATATGATTTAGCAGCTAGCCCCTTTCTTAAATTGGCCTTACCATCTGCCTCTCTTACCCTCTTTCCCATGCCAATTTTCTCATGTATAAAATAAGAGATTTAAACATGCCTATCACAAGAGTAGTTGTAAGGACTACTTGAGCTAATTCTTGCAGTTCCTTGTACAGAAGCCCCATCATTAGACCTTAGTAGGAGGAGAAGTAAGGTTAGGAGGGGTAGCAATAGAAATTTCATGGCATAAAACTGGGCAGCATGATGTTAGTCCTGACTCTGCTCATTTCATTTCACTTCTCCTGGCCTCAGTTTCCTTGTCTATCAAATGAGGGCATTATTGAAATCCCTTCCAGCTTTACAATCTGATTATACCTGCTTTACTGTTTTGTTGTTGTTCAGTCCTTGAATCATGCCCAACTCTTTGCAGCCCCATCAGCTGCAGCACACCAGGATCCTCTGTCCTTTACCATCTCCCAGAGTTTGCTCAAATTCATGTTCATTGAATTGGTGATGCATATCTAACCATCTCATCTTCTGCTGCCCCCTTCTCCTTTTGCCTAGTCTTTCCCAGCATCAGAGACTTTTCCAATGACTTTTCTAACCCTAACGAGTCAACTCTTTGCATCAGGTGGCCAAAAATGGAGTTTCAGCTTCAGCATCAGTCCTTCCAATGAATATTCAGAGTTGATTTTCCTTTTGGATTAACTGGTTTGATCTCCTTGCTGTCCAAGACACTCTCAAGAGTCTTTGCCAGCACCACAGTTTGAAAGCATCAACTCTTTAGCACCCAACCTTCTTTGTGAAAAGAAACTCTCACTTCTGTACACTACTATGGAAAAACCATAGCTTTGATTATTCAGGCCTTTGTCAGCAAAGTGATTGATGCCTCTGCTTTTTTATATACTGTCCGGGTTTGTCATAGTTTTCCTTCCAAGGAGCAAGAATCTTAATTTTATGGCTGCAGTCACCATCTGCAGTGATTTTGGAGGGCAAGAAAACAAAAATCTGCCACTGTTTCTACTTTTGGGGGACCAAATACCATGATCTTAGTTTTTTGAATGTTGCGTTTTAAGTCAACTTATTCACTCTCCACTTTTACCCTCTTAAAAGGGTCTTTAGTTCTTCTTCACTTTCTGCCATTAGAGTGGTATCATCTGCATATCTAAGGTTGTTGATGTTTCTCCTGGTAATCTTGATTCCAGCTTGTGATTCATCCAGCCTGGCATTTTGCATAATATACTTTACATATAAGTTAAATAAGGGTGACAATATACAGACTTGATGTACTCCTTTCCCAATTGGAACCAGCCCATTGTCCTATGTCCAGTTTTAACTGCTGCTTTTTGTTCTGCATACAGGTTTCTTAAGGGACAGGTAAGATTCTCTGGTATTCCCACCTCTTTAAGAATTTTCCACAGCTTGTTGTGATCCACACAGTCAAGGCTTTAGTATAGTCAATGAAGCAGAAGTACATGGTTTTCTGGAATTGCCTTACTTTCTCTTTGATCCAACAGATGTTGACAATTTGCTTTCTGGTTCCTCTGCCTTTTCTAAGCCCAGTTTGTATATCTGGAAGTTTTCAGTTCACATACTGCTGAAGCCTAGCTTGAAGGATTTTGAGCATAACCTTATGAGCATATGAAATGAATTCAACTTTACAGTAGTTTGCTTTGCTATGATCTTTTATTCCCTTTGAATCTGAAACATCCTTCTAAAGTCGACTGAATTCAGTCTCCAGAGAAAATACGCAACTGAAGCTGTTGTGAGAATCAGTAATACATAAAGCACTTGCAGGAATGGAACCTGTAACATGGTTAAAGTGGAAAAGTGAAAGTGAAGTCGCTCAGTCGTGTCCGACTCATAGCGACCCCATGGACGGCAGCCTACAAGTCTCCTCTGTCCATGGGATTTTCCAGGCAAGAATACTGGAGTGGATTGCCATTTCCTTCTCCAGGGGATCTTCCCGACCCAGGGATCAAACCTGGGTCTCCCGCATTGTAGACAGACGCTTTACCATCTGAGCCACCAGGGAAATCCATAACATGGTTATATGCTCTATAAATGTTAGCTGTGCACTCTAACACTATTATTTTCCCCCACGAGAATGTAAGCACCATGAGAGCAAGGACTCTGTCGGTCCTGTTCACTTGCTGTTGCCCTGAGCATCTGGACTGGTGTTTGCATGAAGTGAAGTGAAAAGTCATTCAGTCGTATCTGGCTCTTTGCGACCCCATGGACTATGCAGTCCATGGAATTCTCCAAGGCCAGAGTGGGTAGCCTTTCCTTCTCCAGGGGATCTTCCCAACTCAGGGATGGAACCCAGGTCTCCCGCATTGCAGGCGGATTCTTTTACCAGCTGAGTCACAAGGGAAGCCCCGGTGTTTGCATACCTTAAACTAATAAATAGTCTAAGCGTCGTGCCCCTTCAAAGGAACCCTGGGCAGGTCTCTTGATGGCAAAATGGAGTCATTAAGATCTTTTCTATCTTACGACCTTAAGACTGCTCTTATATCCCTCCCCTTCTTTTTTTTAATTAATTAATTAATTTATTTATTTATTTATTTTTTATCACAACCATATATCCCTCCCCTTCTTTCTAGTGTTTTAAAGCCTTGATAAAAGTCCGGACTGCACATTAACCCAAAAGCCACTTTGGAATGCCAGCCGGGAGCCTGAGCCCGCCTCCGTTGCCTTGGCAGCGGCTCCGCCCCGAGCTCTGGAGATCCTCGGCCCTGATTGGCTGGGCCTCGGACTCCTTCTCCGGAAGTAGCGGCTGCCGCCATTGTGCGGCGCTGGTCCACTCAAAGGGTGCTGGCTGCAGCCAGCGTTTTGGGCTCTCGTCCTAGCTTCTCGGTGTCCTGTCCTGGGAGCCCGGCGGGTCCGGGCCTCCCATCCGTGCCGGTGCGGGCGCCGGCATGTGGCTGTGGGAGGATCAGGGGGGCCTCATGGGCCCCTTCTCCTTCCTGCTGCTGGTGCTGCTGCTGCTGACGCGCAGTCCCTTCAATGCCTGCCTCTTCACTGGCAGCCTCTACCTCCTGTTGCGCCTCTTCAGCTTTGAGCCGGTGCCCTCCCGCAGGGCTATGCAGGTGCTCAAGCCCCGGGACCGCGTTTCCGCCATCGCCCACCGCGGAGGCAGCCACGACGCTCCCGAGAACACGCTGGCGGCTATTCGGCAGGTGAGTCCCGCACCCCTCCCGCCCCTGTGCCCCTCTTGGGAGCTTGGACTTTTGCCTGCCTTTCCGAAGGTTCCCCAGCCTTTTCATGATGGCCTTGCCATTCCCCATTCGTCCACAAAGAATACACTGAAGTGACCATCAATCCGTCTGAATTCCGGAACATCTCCTGACTTCCAAGTATTTATGGAACACTGCAAATACCTGTGTATTTGCTATATGCCAGGTACTGAGGATAGTCATGACCAAGACAGAAGGGGTCCCTGCTTTCACAGAGCTTGGCGTTGGAGTAGGGGAGACAGGCCTTAAACAAGTAAGTACATAAATGAGGTACTTTTAAGAGAGCAATGAGTGCAATGAAGAAATAGGCTAACGCAATAATGAATGACTAGAGGAAGAAGTCATGCTACTGTAGACAGAAATCCTGTTGGAAAGTGACCTTTGAACTGAAACTGTAATTATGAAGAGCCACCCATTAATCTGGGGGGCGAGTGCTCCAGGAAATGGAAACAGCAAGTGCAAAGGTTCTGAGGTGGGAATGATGTTGGGATCCTTAGGTAACAGAATAGTATATGGCCTGACTTCAAGGGGCTAAACAAAGGTTGGTGTGTGAATGAAGCAGGAAATCTGGCCTGGTTAAGGAGAGTCTTGGTCAGCGGTTAGCTTACATATTCTAAGTGGATCACTTTCACAGGGGCTGTCTTTATTTGCCCTCCAAAGTATCCAGATCCTCTCCTTATTAGGATCCCCATGGTCAGACAACCCTGGCCGCAGGACTCCTGATGATTTCTGCCTCCCCTTTTCACAAGGCTCTCTTGGCAGTCTCCAGACTTCATCATAATGATAGCTTGCTTAGTAAGAGAGCTTTCCAGTTGTCTGGGCACTGTTGCATCTGTGAAAATATATCTGATCATCTCATTTCTCTGAAACACTTTAATGTTGAGTCGGTAGGAATACTGGCTCAAACACACACAGCTCTTTCTCAAATTCAGCGTTTGATTCTGTGAGCTCAGCTTCTCTGTACACCGGTGCCAAGTCAAATCTCAGAGACAGAGTTTTGGGTGAAGTAGAAAAAGATAGCTTTATTGCTTTGCCAAGGAAAGGGGGCCACACTGAGCTAATGCCCTCAAAACCATGTGTCCCCACTTGAGAAGACAACGAGTTTTATAGTAATTGTTCAAAGAGGGCATGATCAGCTCATGGACATTCTTCTGATGGGTTGGTGGTGAGCTAAGTGGGAGTCAACATCTTCAACCTTCAGGTCCAGCTGTTCTGGGATCTACATGCTTCTGGGCAGCATACCATCGTTAATCATAAATTCTCCCACCTGGAGGGGGTTTTAGTACCTGTAAAATAACACAAAGATATTGCTGTGTTTATCTATTGATAGAGAAACAGGACCTTGCCCCAAGACTGCTCTTGACTGTTTCTTCCTGGTCTCACATCCACTCCCTTCCCTGATTAACAATTGCTTGACTCTGCCCTTTGGAACTCAGGGAAGGTCATGGAGTCTGGCTGAAAGCTATTTCCTATAATAGAAGAAGTGAGGGGACACAGATAAGTCTTTGTGCCCACGAGCTTTGCAGGGCCCTGCGCGGTATCACCTTCTGATTCTAAGCCCCAGTGCTCTTTGTTGTAGATTAGAATATTCATGTTCCAGGATGTTGAATTTGGACTGACCTCTCTTTGTCCAGCTAGGGGACAGACAGTTTTGTGTGGTGAGTGAGTGCTCTGTGTCCCAGTCAGAGTCACGGGTAGGATGTAGCAAGCATAGCATACCTTGCCTCACTCTGATCCTAGCTCTGACCTTAGTTTCCTCATTGGTAAAGTGGGAATAATGTTAATATCCGCCTAATCAGTTGTGATTCAGTAAAGTAGTCTACATAAAGTGCTTGGCCCAAGATAAGACTTCCACAAATGTTAGCTCTTTGGGCCAAGAATCTAAAGACAAAGTAAAGGTAAAAAGTTTTAAGCCTGAAGAACAAAGAGGGTCAGAAGGCAGTTTTAATTTGGTGAAGGGCATCTAACTTTATAAACCAAGTTATGTCTTTTATGCTTCTTTCCCTTTAGTTCTTTGTGACAGAAGAGAGACGGAGCAGCTCTTCTAGCATTCTGCTTAAAAATAATTCTAAAAACATGAGGAACAAAATAACAATAAAAAAACAAACAAGCAAAAAAAAAAAAAAAAAGACCGACTTTTGGGCACAGTGGGAGAAGGTGAAGGTGGATGATTTGAGAAAATAGCATTGAAACATATACATTGCCATATGTGAAATAAAAAGCCAGTGGGAAGTTGATGTATGATGCAGGGAACCCAAAGCCAGAGCTCTAACAACCTGGAAGGATGAGGTGGGGAGTGAGGTGGGAGGGGCGTTCAGCAGGGAGGGGACACGTGTATACCTGTGGCCAGTTCATGCTGATGTATGGCAAAAACCATCACAATATTGTAAAGTAATTATTCTCCAATTGAAATCAATTTTAAAAATAAGACTAAAGATAGTGAAGAATGTATTTCTCATTCTAAACAAACTGAAAGGTTGGATGAAGAAACATAACAGGAGATAAAATTGTCATGAAAAGGAATAATTACTATAAAAAAAAACATTGTTACTGGCTTTCATTTCAACTTACTTTTATGGAAGTTGCCTTAAAGTATATTTTTGTTCAGTCGCCAAGTCATAGCTGACTCTTCACAACCCCATGGACTATAGCACACCAGGCTTCCCTGTCCCTCACCATCTCCTGGAGTTTGCCCAAGTTCATGTCCATGCCTTAAAGTATAACTCAGTGTTAGTTGAGCACAGAAGGTATTCATAAGTATTTACCAATGGATGTCGTGGTTTGGCCAGGATGTCAACTAAATAGGAACCATATTAAATGTGGAGATATGTGTATGCAAAATACACATACATGGATAGAGTGTCATACCCTGTTGTGTTGCAAGGGAATTATAGCTAAATTCCATTCATACCTTATGTGTTTAGGTTGAACGTGTCTTTATGTAACTATGATTCAATAACATCATTCCAAGCTGATTCCTGGTTTTAAGAGGAAATGAGAGGTCATTTAGCTTGAGATCGTTGTCAGTGAACTGTTTAGCCGTGACAGAATTTAGCTGCAGAAGACATCCCTCTGGACTTCAAAAAGAACCATGTAGTTTATTCCCTTCAGAGTTTGTTTTTTGCTCCCTGTGCTTGTTTGCAGCTCATAATTTATTTTTTTTTTGTTTTGTTTTGTAACTTGCTTTCTTTTTTTTAAAATTTATTTATTTATTTATTTATTTTTTATCACAACCATAGTGTATCTTTTTTTTTTTTTTACATGTATTCCCCATCCCGGTCCCCCCTCCCACCTCCCTCTCCACCCAATCCCTCTGGGTCTTCCCAGTGCACCAGGCCCGAGCACTTGTCTCGTGCACCCAACCTGGGCTGGTGAACTGTTTCACCCTAGATAATATACGTGTTTCAATGCTGTTCTCTTGAAACATCCCACCCTCGCCTTCTCCCAGAGTCCACAAGTCTGTTCTATACATAGGAGTCTCTTTTTCTGTTTTGCACATAGGGTTATCGTTACCATCTTTCTAAATTCCATATATATGTGTTAGTATACTGTAATGGTCTTTATCTTTCTGGCTTACTTCGCTCTGTATAATGGGCTCCAGTTTCATCCATCTCATTAGAACTGATTCAAATGAATTCTTTTTAATGGCTGAGTAATATTCCATGGTGTATATGTACCACAGCTTCCTCATCCATTCGTCTGCTGATGGGCATCTAGGTTGCTTCCATGTCCTGGCTATTATAAACAGTGTGCAGCTCATAATTTATATTGAACATTCCATTATGTAAAAATTAACGGAAGACATTTTGACAGTGGTAGAATTTCTGGTAGGTTATAGAATAGCTCAAGAAGGAGAAACTTGAGAGAGGTGAGATGAATGCATTCCAGAAAGATTCACAATTACAACCAGTGACTGAAGCATGAAATTAAACCTGCAGTTCACTCTCCACAGAGGGACCAGAGTGCAGCTTTAAAAGTATAATTCAGATTAAATCCTGCCAATTTTGAAAACCCTCCAGTTGTTTTTCTATTGCACTTAGGTAAAATCAAAATAACTTTCTATTTGGGACCTTTCTCAAAGCCCCTGCTCTCTTTGGTTAAACTACCTTGGGTGTTTGTTAATGATGCTTTTAGCTTCATGCAATAGAAAATCTAACTTCAAATATTTCAAACAATAAGCGGACTATATTCCACAAGAGGTACGTCTGGGAGAGGTAACTTCTCGGATGGTTTATTCAGCTGTGCGATTTGTGACTGTGGAGGACTCGGTTTCTAGCTCTGTCTGCTCTGCCACCTGTAGCATATTTGTACTATACTGCTAGCCCTCATTGTATTGATAGTTGCCAGGTGACCATTGCAACCCCAGGCCTCATATTCTTATGTATCAGCATCTGACCTCAAGAAAAGACTCCACTCCCTCTTCCAGAAGTCTTTACAGAAGTCAGTCACTCTCTGTCAGTCTTTCTGTCTCCCACATGCACGCACACACCCAAGGAGGGATTGGTAATAGTCCGCTTAGGGCACAGGAGAAAACTGAACACAGGCAAAGGAGCTCTCCACCAGCAGGGAAGAAGAAAAGGGATAGATCCCTGTGAGCAGTTGGTACTTTGTGGCTTCTTTCTACTTTGTGGCGTTTGTATCACACTGGCTATTTCTTTTACTTAGAAAACTTTTCTCCTGGATCTTTGTATTGTTGACTCCCTTTTATCACTAAAGTCTCAGCTCAGATCTCATATTCTTTTTTTTCTTAATTTATCTATTTTTAATTGAAGGATAATTGCTTTACAATATTGTGTGAGTTTCTGCCATGCATCAACATGAATCAACCGTAGGTATACACATGTCCCCTCCCTGTTGAACATCCCTTCCACCTCCCATCCCATCCCATCCCACCCCTCTAGGTTGTCACACAGCCCTGGTTGGAGTTCCCTGAGTCATATAGC